AGAGAGAGAGAGAATAAAATCTACTTGATTCAGAATACGTTGTGACCTATCTACAACACAATATTTATTTTACGCTTTTTAACGTACCTTGATCCCTTTCTTGCGAAGCCTAACAACGATATTCGTTCCTTCTGCGAAGATAGTGACATCACCTAGCGCGACGTAGGGAAGCTTCACACGCTTCTCCAAAATCTTCACCTTTATCATTTGACCTAAACGAATCTGCAAACAATGTTGTACATAAACAAAAATTAAGCGCCAAGATATAAAAAAAAAGACGCGGTCTAGAGCTATTAAGTGGCCTCAGCAAGACAGAAAGTGCTAGTGCTAACGACTTTATAGCCAGATATAGAGACTTGGATCCCGCTTATGGCACAGAAATCCCAACAGATCATCTAATAAAATATAGTAATATGGATATTGAGTTTTATTAAATAGTGAAAATTGACTTTGTATGTAAATCCGTCGGAAACTGCACGTTCCTGGAAGACACTATGCCACGAGCTACAAAGGGGAGCTCGAGGTCTAAAAAGAAATGCCAAGCAGTTTTTAGGTGTATGTGATTCTAATGCTTGTGACGTGCAATAGAGAGCCAAAATTGTAGTTTCCTTAGTTTGAGACCGAAAAAAACGTACTGCGTCGGGGGCTGTATAAATAGCAGAACGCTTGATCGTGGTGTTGTCACGAAAAGAGAAGCAGTCGAGGAAACTTAATGCTAACGTGTCTACCGATAAGTCATAGGGCCATATGTGGTAGAGGCTAGGAGGTAGGCGCAAGTTATTTGGGGCTGAGAACAAATTATATGGTTTTATGTCGAGCAGCGGTTCTAATTGCGATCGGAACCTACAAGCAGAATAAATAGGCATATGGTTGTTATTAGGCTATTATCAAAACGTAATTTTTTAAAATCAGCTACGCGTCGATCCGCTGATCTGGTCGTCTCGTTTAATCGGTTAACACACAACAAAAATGTCAAACGAGGCTAAGTGTTGAGATGGCATGTATTATATGAGACCTAGTAGGGATGCTAGGAACTACATATAGTTGGCAACACATTCAGCCCAAACATCGTAGTGAAAAATGTAGATAAAAAGCAGCATACGAGTTTTCTATCACAGTTAATATCATATTCTATGTGTTTTATGTATTATTCGAAAATAATATGTGTACCTTGTGCTTATCAACACGAATGAGTAGCCCGCGTGTCCACGAATAATGCTTTGATCTACGAGGATCGTTGAAAACCTGCACACTGAACGTACTTCTCCCTGATACTGCTGAAGAGGTCAATCCACTTGACCCATGAACTACCAAGCTACTTTCATTTAGACGAAGACAGTCGTCAGTTACTAGCATGTATCGGCATTGACCCTGAAAATGGTTAAGCGAATAAACGACATCTTTACTTGCTAAATTTAGTTTAATTTTCTTACTGCGGGAAAGCTACTTCACATTATGAAAGATTTTTTCTCAAGCCAATTTTCTACTGCAGGGCTCGCTGAACCGTACAGTTGTACCCCTTGTTATTTCTTAGTGTAAGCCTTTATATTGATGAATAACACAATTACCCTCCTAAGGAGCATTGCTAAAAAAAAACGCTTGTTATAGACGGTTAATATGGTGTTGCGCGAGGTTGTTTACCAAGAGATTATCTCCCAACCAAAAAAGACTATAGGCCATCCAGAAAAGGCAATATGGGAGCTTTTGGTCAAATAATTATTCAAGACATTAATGGTAACCTCTCGACAAGCCGCAGAACGTTCTTTATGCTATGTTTATCGATTATAATGCCGCATACGACTATTCCATGTGTCGCGCTGATAATCTCCTCCGACGGACGCAGCTCGACTTTGTTCACCTCAATGATCTATAACGACGCGTTTAGAATGGCAGACGTAATCAAACCTCCAAGACCTCTTTTTTACCTTGAAGCAACATATCGCCTTTCCTACTTGCGTCCGTGACGGCTTCACACATAAATATTGCAGATGTTGAACCGGGTGAAATTTATTTGAAACTCGTACTAGGTCTACACCGCACGACAAGTAATCAACGCGTCTATTCTCCCGCTAGTGTCTCACTGCTAATCCAAAATGTAATACCACCCTTCAAATATCAGCCACTGCAGTTTCTTCCGGGTGTCTCAGAAGCGGAAGTTTGCCGTCACCAATATGGAACTCATCAACCAAAGAACTGTAAGAGATGAACGGTGGAAATTGTCGAATCCTCACATCGCTACTCGTCTTTGGCTATACCCGGATACCATAATAAACTGTGCTCACTAGCGAGCTACTATGAGCTAAACGAAGGATATGTCTGCATTAGATATGGCGACTCTGTGACACACATCACGCTGCCTGCCATGGCCTCGTGTCGTGCTAAAAAACCTGCCAGATGCACTAAATAAGTTGTTTTTTCACATTGAGCAGGCGCTTTAGAGCTCGTACTTTAGACAAAAACCTACAATTTGGAAAACACATGCCTCGAGAACAGGCTCATAGAGCAAAAAAAATAACTTTTCAGCGCTGTATTATACGAGACGTGAGCATCAGCAAAGGAAAATTTAAGAGTAGAGGAAATTAACTAACACATAAATGTCTTTTACATCTCTACATACTATAATCGCTATTAAGCTCATGCATAATTGATATCTGTTGTATGCATGACAATCATTAGAGTTACATTACCGCCGGTGCCGTAAATTATTGATAGCAGGATGAAGAAAATTTAATAAAAGCTGTCGGTTATTTATTACAGAAGATAACATTTCTTGAACGTTGATGGTACATCTGATTTGGTAAAAAACATATCCTGTTTTGTCTATGATTAAGCAGTATACAAACCTGAAAACTGTACATAACGCCGTCAAATGTTCGGTAGTGAGGATCACCAAAGACCGCGCATACGCCATCGCTCTAAAAAAAAAACAATCATATTCAGTAAGCTGTATTCTAGATAAAACAACTGTACGCGTAGCTAATACTATGAATCAAAGTTGCAGACCTCCTTTACCGGGAATGTGAAATCGATTAGGAACAGATCATTTGGGCGCATATCTTTATTATTCACGTTACCTCCACACACGACGGACAACAGTCGCCTGGGTTGGCCAAAACAAGCCTATGTTTAGGAGGGCACTTCGGAGATGGCGGACATTGCTTCGGCGCGCACCAAGCAGCTCCGCTCTGACAACGGCACTCTTTGCAGCGACCTGCCTTCCACGTGTCGCCATCCTGCAAGAAACGTAATGCAGCGATCGTCGGTAAAAAATCATCATATAGCAGCTAACCATTAAAGAAGACTTTGCGTAACGCGATTTAGGCACTGGACCCAACCTTAGGACTCCTTTACTACATGAAACCTTCAGCACTCCAACACAAAATAAACTACGGAAATTCGCGACCTTTCAAGGTAAATTTATTTTCTGACCTTTAAATATACGAGATGCAATGTAGCTATTTATCCTGGCCTTTTCACAACGTTGCAGATGGAATTGGTGAGGCTTCAAAGGTGCTGATTTGATTTTTCAACATCGTTTTGCCTACGATTTGGAAGGGCAAGATTGAAACAAAATCACCCATACCAGAAAACTATAATGTTTTATTATACTTAAATGATAAATTCGATTGATTATTTTGGAAGGTAGCAGTTTGAAATGTCCACTAAGCTACTCTAGGTTCAAGTCTTACTAAAGGAATGAAAACGACGTATTTTGGTAGGTATGATGTTTCGTTCGTTTCGTTTTGATTGGATGTTGTGCCGTGGATAGCTATTTTTTGCAGGAAAAAGCCGGAGCTCGGCGGTTCAAGCCTCGAGATACCCTATAGTCGTTCGCAATAAAACGGATACTCCAGCATTGTCTTGCAGTGCAATCAACTACGCCATGTGCCAAGTAAGCAAAACTCCAAACAGGTATGACCGACCTCACTAGTATTTCTGTTCTTCATTACAGGAGCACCTACTATTTCTTGCAACCTTTGAGACCTACTTATTGATAAGTATAGACTAAGGCAACTGATAAGGATGTCGCAAATGCGATTTGAAACGCCACTGCAACAGTTATGCGAGGCCATTTTACTGGCAGAGGATAACGTCACAGCCAAAAAAATTTCGAATCGAGCAATACATAGCCGGAGCAGGCGGGCTTGATAAGGTTAATTTAAAGCGACGCTTTTGGTTCAGCGGGGATTTCAAAGATTGCCACTGCTAATCAGGGAGGCAGCAAGGGAAAAATCAAACAATATTGAAGTCACAAAGCTATCGAAGTCTGAGAGGGACACGGCTATGGTAGTGGCAGCGAAGAAGGATGCTAACATTTAACTTCCTGTGAATTTAAGTCGAATGAAATAATGGAACCGGATATACATGGTGAGCCAGGAGTCGCCCAACAGTTTGAGAAGAATTAACAGTTAAACGCATTGCTATTTGCATTTACTTAAGTAGCAGGAGATTTTTTTTAGTTGTGCAACAAATTTTTACCAGTGGCATCGTAAAACCATTTCCATATGCCTATAGTAAAAGGGTATATGCATACTACGGGGTATTCAGATACTGGTTCACTAAACAAGTTATAGAATGGCAGTCGTTATTGTTGTAAATATTGTTTTTAAACCCATACTCACGCTATAGTATTATACCGTAATATCATAGAAATATATAAATTCAATTAGGATGTCTTTCTCAGTTAAATCTATCTTCAGTTTATGTATAACCGGCTATTTAACTAGGCACCAAACGAAGACTCCCCGATAGTCAAGAGATTTAAAAATTGTTCGATGATCTTTGGTTCATTGTATATTGTAGTTCTGCTAACGCCTTGAAGGAAGTTCTGATGAACTCTCAGAATTGGTGGAGCCTCAAAGACTTTCGAACTTTGGCCAGTATATAAGCAGATTTGCGAAAGAAGCTCTAAACTTCTTAGCGTTTATTCGTTACGGCGCTGGGCCTCTAGATCTAAACGTATTTTCTTTGGACTTGCGTCGACGTCAGTGACTCCTCAACAACTGATAAAAGACGCCAAATAACGATGGTGTGATGAAAAAAACATCACAAGTCGAGTAGTGAAATGCATGAATGGGTCACATTGAGAAAAAATGCATCGTCGACGTTAAAGTATACTTTATAGCTTACAAAACCAGATCAAGCGGCATGAAACTATTGACATAACAATACAGCCTAATAATAAGAACGAACCGCTACATGCTGATCATCATGTTCTGGGCACACTACAGCGAAACGAAGGGTACCAGCAAAGCACCGACATGAATGACTAGAAGAAAAGAGGCTACGAAGTTAATTACGGAGCGGGGAATTAGAAAAACAGAAATATAATTACGAAACTACAATCGGGTCGACCTTGCTTTGTATACGATTAGGCTTCTATAAGATTTAACTATATCGCAGGACTCACATGCAGGTCGCGAGCTAAGGAAATAGAGTCGCTACATCAGCGGCAACCATTGCTGACAGATAGGTTTAGGCCTCGGTAATTTACGAAATATCTGAGACTGAGAAAGTCTTGATAAGGAATGAAAGAAAGGCGCATAGTTTACAAGTTAAGAGCTCTGTCCTCGTGGCAGTGTAGTGGTAACATTATTACCTGTTAAACTTAGGAACACGTGAATCGATCTAGGTTTGAGGCCGGGCCTAAACACATCTTGTTTTATGCTGGCAGCGAACCGTTTGAAGTAGTCTAGTACCGGGTACAAAACCCAAAGCACTTATTTATCTAAATCTAGATTGTAAGACGTTTTCAAAGATTATAGGATCAACACATCCGAAGGCCGAAACATTGGTGTACCACATTTCTAACTAATGCCTCAGACCAAAGCTGGATAAATGTGTGATGTACCGCACAGATTATGTAATATAAAAGACGCTGTGGGCTCCATCTTGAACGACAAAGACACTGGGTTCATTTAATGAAAATAAGGTCAAACATATCCGAAACGTTGACATATTACTTTGTTTGTATTGCTATCTGGGAAGGGCTACCTGGGCGGTAAAAGGATTCCTGAAAATGGTCAAACAGCTCTGAGGGGAGGTCCGAATGAGGTTCTCTATCATGAATTCTCTATAAGTTCTCTGCCATTTCCACCAGTAGAATTCGTACCCAGAAAAAAATACTTGAGATCTTGAGTAAACAGTAATATCCACAATCACCAAAGGTACTAGAAGAAATACGGAAATGTTCAAAAAGCAAATAAGAAGGAAGGAATGATGGTCTGAGTTCTGGCTTCTCTAACGAACAACAAAAAGCAGAGAACATTTTGGTGGATTACAGAAGGAAAAAAAAACCGAGAAACCTTTGTACGTTTTAAAAATAGGATTCTCTACATTTTATACAAGCGGACGAAAAAAACGCGTTGTTGCGGGGGCTGCGCATTAAGCTGAAGGTCAACGAATTTGAGACATAATATAAAATACATTCCAATAAAGCAAAACACAGAAGCGCTGTCTAAACAGAAAGATCGTTTGAGAAACACCGAGCGTAACCGTAAGGCGATCATAAAAACAGGGATTAAGAATCCTGAGGGTCTATCAGTTTCTGATTTCTACAAAAAATGGCGGGCCTTCCTGTTTTAGTGCTGATTGTAATAATAGAGAAAAAAAATGTCAAATAGAGTTAGAGTGCCATTATTATAATTACTTCCGTTGAATACTGGCATCTTCGATTATCGTATCGACGAATACTTTATTTAGTTACTTTTTTATTAATATTAAAATCGGTTTTAATATGTTATTTAAATATGCTTGTTTATTTTATAAAATGTTGAAATTTGCACTTTTTAAAAATGACCCATTCACTTTAAAAATCAAGCTCGAGGAAAAGTTGTATGATCTGGTAAAAACGGTTACTACGTGACCGTACAGTCATGAGACAACCTCCCTGTGTTAGTAAAAAAACAACAAAAGGAGACGGCACGCACTCATTCAGGCGTATTCGACAGATAGGTAAGAAAAAGCTATAAATAATAATAAGAATAGCACCTAGGTGGTATAACATGGTTAAAAGGAATACTGTAAAAGTGTAGAATCTTAGTGCAAGTCTTATATTCATTCGTTATGTTTAATTTCCTCTGTAACGTTCCTTCTTCAGTTATTATTTCAACTGAAAGTAAAACGCTTATGTTTGATTGGATAAATATTTCTTTAGATAACCGCTTATAAAAACAATTTTTTTTAAGTGCATAAAAAGACTATTTCCGGTGATAGATACATTCACACGGCTTGATATAGTGCCGTAGGATTTCAATTTTATGACTGATCTAAACTTGATTGACTAAACTTATTAATACTAACTCCTATACAGTCGGATCTACTATAAACTTCTGTACTGCTAAAAACAAATATAATATCATATGAATTTGATGTCGAATTAGAGCTTTGAACCAGGCAGTTCAATGGTCTAGCGGTTAACCTTGCCTAGACAAACCTTTTAGTAGACAATTAATTAGTTATTTACAACACCGTTTTCCTACTGTCAATCCTATAAGTTAATTTAAAAGTAATCCAACACTTTCCTTGGTGCGTCAGAAGTTTAAATGAGCTCATACGACAAGATCCAAATTTGAATCTAGGCAAAAAATAGTAGAAAAAGCAGTCGAATTCCTCTCGAACACTCCTCGAAGCGTTGAAAGAAGATTGAGAGTCAGTTAGATCACAGAGAAAAAATTTTGCTCTCTATAGATTCTTTATAATAATAACGATAATAAAGCTAAAGAAGCAAATGTAATATAACTTCAAATGGAAAAAAATTGGGTGAGGTATTTCATAAACCGTTTCAATGTGTATGAAGCCGATCTTGTAATAATGGCTAGATACTTGCTAAGGTTTTCATTCCTTTGTCGTAATTGCTGAAATTGAGAACCATCACCCGTCCCGCAAAGATTTATAGCGTGTGAGAAAATTACTTTAGTCTCCAACCGTAATCATAAGAATACTACCAATACAACATAAATGTATATGTATTACTTAAAGTTAAAGCTATATTTAGCTTGACGTATTGAACGTTTTAATCAATCTATTTTTTTTTTGTGAATCTGAATGTATTCTCATGTATAATATGATGGAATTGATCGAGTGCCCTGGGTAGGAAGATACATTTATTTCGTTCGTTATTATTTTTTTAAATCAATGAAAGTAAGTCTAAAATAGAAACAGGCATATAAAGCGGCGATATATAGAGCTCTAAATTATAAAGAGTAGTCTTAAATAGTTTAAATCGAGGCTGTTTAATATGTGGAACTACGTGTAGCAAAGCTTCTGCATTATGTGTCTATTGAACGCAATTGTCATTAAGTCGAGAATACTACTTGGCATATATGACCGTTGTAATCGTTTCACATTCCAAAAAGAAGGCCGAGTCAACCAAATTTACTAGTTGGAAAAACTTGAAACAAGGCAGGCATAGCGGACTATCTATAAATGGATTACGAATTGTCGAAGATGAACTTAACTGGCCTCTATCCTAACGTTTGCTACTCCAAGCAAACAAAAAAAAACAATTATCGATGGCCTAACAAAGGCTAAGGTAACAATGTGCGGGAATAGATAAAAATGGTAAATCGGGCAATGCTCGCAGTTACCCCATCTGTCCAAATTCATTTTGATTTACGGCGACTGATGAGAGTAGGTTCGTTCTATTCTTTCTGTGGTAGATTCCTTGAGAACAAAATTGATTGATGTCTTCGACTGATGTTTCCAGCTATCCCGTATATTTACAGATCTCGGTTTCTAGAGGGTGTCCATGGTACGAAGACTAAAAGCTTTAATGTGCAAGATCGTACAACGATAAGAAACCGTTTCGGCGTGGGCTGTATGATTTGGCTTAACGTGGACAACCTATAAGTTTTAATAAAAATTAATAGATACTTTTAGTTAAAAGACTTCTGTATACGATAACTTGCGCATATAGTTCTAATCATGCTAACTTGTTCCGAGTTAACATACGCCTGTTCAATTCACGCTTAAAAATTCCTCATTTCCAGGTCCTCAGTATCTTTCCGAACAGCGACGTGCTTAATTAGCTTTGATGGTGATAAATAATTACCGGATTGTTGACTAATGCACCGAAGCTGTATATTGAATATTTTTAGTTTTAAGAGTACATCTACATTATTAAAAAACTTTGCGTATGTAATTTTTTTTCTTTATTGTTATGCAGAGTGTTGAAAAGGATTGTGTAGCTCAGCCAGTTTCTAATTAAAAATGGAAGCAACTTGCTTTGATGTTTATGTGTATCTCGACGCATTTCCTATTTGAGTCAGCAAATACTTCAAATATCTTTCGAAACGGTTATCTCTTCTCTGAAAATTGATTTATCAAGCGACCTAAAATTGCGGTTTTCGGAACACACTTCAGTGCCGCCCATCTTTTTTACGACCCACCTTCTCAGATTCACAAAGTAGCTAGGTAGGCAAGTTTCATTTAAATACGTGTGCAAGATTACGAGCAAGGAGTGCGCTAAAATGTCATTCCTTCAGTCTGTGGAAAATTCCGGCTTGTAGGTAATTCATATAAAGGAGAACTGCACAAACAACTACCATTACAAAAAGCTTCATTTGCCTGCACATATTCGTATCTGTACTTAGGGTTTGTGAGCGCGAGAGGTCGTACCGTTTATCACGTTGAGCGCTCCAATGTTATTTCGTAACTACCTGGCTCTATACTCCATCCACTCTCCATGAACGAGAAGAACCGTTATCATCAAATTGTCATTTATTATTGTGAATAAAAACAACAATGAAAGCGTTTTAAAATAACTCTTATAAATTGTTATTAGCGCGAAGGACAGGCGTCTGGCGTTAAAAACATTCTAGATATTACAGCTTGTGGGCGTTAAGGCTTTTGACATAGAAATACCTAATGACGATATGTGGTTCCTCTTTAGCGTGTTGCAAGATACGTTGCGCCATCGTTCTAAATCAGAACGATCGATTCAGCGGAAATTTTGACGACGGCCACGTAAGAAATGAGCATTGCCAAATGATATTAGTTGAGAATTAGGTGGCCGACTGACCTCTCGACCTAATCGTAGCACTTATTATAGGTATTTTTATAAGCTAATGGAAATATAAAATGAACTTATACTACCATATAGAGTCTTCCATTGTGTGTGCACTGCTGCAAAGGATTCTTTTCCCGTTTTTCTTGGAGGGCGGGACTTCGGCACCTGGGACAACAGGTATCACCTGAATGCGTCTGATGCTCCGGGGGACATTCGAGCCGAGGACAAACGATCCGGTGGCAGACGGAAGTACCATTCTACTCGTTTGCCGGAAACATCCAAAGTCAACAAAGAAATGTTATTCTATATTACTCATAAACTTTGTTTGACCCAACAAGTTTTATGATGGGGCTTAAGCTTAATCCTGTATCGTTGCTTTTTACTAGCCTATTTGACGTTGAATTTAACAGCAAAAATAGTAAGAAGCATAACTTATGGAAGGATGACTACGAGGCTATAAATGTAAAACATTCTTTGGCTCTACGAAGAACCATGTGCAATATGTTCCTTATTAAAATGCCTTTTTTTATACAGAGAAGTATATTTCGAAATATAGTAAGGTATTGCAGAAAAATAGTAGAAAGTTAGAAAAGTACGTTGATAATTCAGAGATAATAATAATAATAAAAAATTATGCTAGTTATTTGTTGCGTTTCAAGCTGTAACAATGAAGCACACGAATGAGAATTTTAAAATAACTCTATTCTTATTTAAAGGACGTACATAGATACGCAAACAAAACTCGCATGGTAAAGAATAATATAATTATAATAGCGATTAAAATATTTTAAAAAAGTATGAGAGATTTATCTGGCCAGGTCTGTCCAGTGTTTGTAAACATGTTCATCCGGCTAAGGGCCAAACATACTCAGTCTCTTTAGGTGGCCCCGTAATGGAAAATATCTGTTTTTGTTAGAGTGCTTAAATCGGACAGCGCATGGAAAACAATGGCAGTCAAATGTCTTCCCAGGCACCGCTTACATAATTCAAGGCGTTTCATGTCATTTTGAATTACGGCTCTGTGCAGTTCAGCAACAATTTCAGCACTCATTACACGAATAAAGGTCATATATTGTTTTCTGCGTTGTTTTATAGATTCTATATTTTACATTGCCCCATAGAAAAAATCGAGTGGAGTCAAACCATAGAACTGAAGAGATCCATCTTTGTCATCGATGTATATCAAAATCTGGGATAGGCCAATCGGTCGATCACTTTGCGTACGATAGCAGCAAGCTCGCTATAACTTGCTCATTCGGTTCGTGTTACTCGTGACTTCACTTCATCCGCAGTGAGTTAGTCTCTTCAAACTTCTTGATTAATCGTCTTAGTATTTCTTTCACCAACGAGGAGCCTCATCCGAGTTCTGTTTGACACTTACGGAATGACACTTACTGTTCCGTCCGACAGTAACTTTTTACAAGAACGCGTGTAGCAAGTCGCACACACTGTGTTTATTGCTCGACGGTCTGCCAGCCCCAGTTTGTGCATGACTATAACAGAAAGGAACCTTTCACCTACTTACATCCCAAAAAGGCAGTTTGGGTAAAAAGTGTGAAAAATGTATGTTCATTCGCGACAAATTGTCCACTTTCATTTATCTGCAATTTTAAATATGCTCTGTTCTGTGTCTCAGTCTATATCGAAATTGTTGTCACTGCGAAAGGGTGCACGCAATGCTAGAATACATATGACTTACTTAAACCTTTAAAAAAACACATTTTAGTTTATACTATCAAGCAAGCCAATCCTCCACCATATGCTTTTTTATAAATTAGATTTTTTTTGTTATGGCTCTATAAGGGGTTTTCCCTTACACGTGTCACGGCTCATATATAGATAATTTAATTCCATAGGCAGTGAGTCGCCGGCATAAACATTTTGCGCAACGAATGAGTTGTAATTTTAACTACCAAAGTGACAGACAACCATCTTAATGCCCCGGTTTCCCCCCTAGAGTAGTTCTGTTTCCGCATCGCAAATGTTACGACTTTAAGAGGGAGTGTAGAAATAGCTTGCTGTAAACGAGTCCCGTATCTATCTTATATGATATATCAGATAGATTAGATAAGATAAACAAAAACCTGATGCATGCACGTTCGGGATCTAGCTTATAAGTTGTTTCTAAGTTTGTATCTAAATGAAAACAGGTATTTTAACAACACTTTTTGCATGTGCTAAAATCGTCATTCCTGACGGTAATTTCTATTCAGTATAGCGACCAGTTACCGTGATCGTAGCTTCATATCGGGACCCAAACCGCTCACTTTTCTAAATATTATTTTTTCAATTCGCAAGGAACTTTTTATGGTAGTCGTACATTAAACAATATTGATAGGCGGAAACTTTTCAAAGTGTCGAATATATGTGCCATAAGCTGAAGTTCCATTATTGCAGGCCAGAAGTCCTAAGGCGCAAAGGCTCAAATAAGAGCGGAAGTTCATAAGGTACGAAAAGGCGCGAAAAATCTCAAAGACACTAATCGTTGGAGTGTATTTGACGATCTAATTAATGCTTGATATCTCTCGCTTCGAAAAGGACCATTAATTTTTGTATTAAAGACTCAAGTGTATCAAAAATGAAATTTTGGATATTTGAATAAATATTTGAGCCCCTCAAATCTAAACCTTATTGAGGACCTTCCGGTTTGCCTTACAAAATTCTTTCCCTAATTTTTCGGAGGCCGCGTGAAAGCTGCTAATACCGAAAACCGTTTATTTCAAGCAAAATAAGAGCTTTTTAACCTGGGTCGGAATTTGTTTAAAGCGAAAGTATTAGATAACAACTAATGAAGTAGCTGTAAAGTTTCGAAAACGACGCAGAGCTTTTCACCATGACGACTTCGTGATTTTGTTCGACACTGAAGTAGCTTTCCTGTGGTTCCAAGAATAGCGGATATTGGCATATATAATCTGGTATATAAGTAAATTTAGTAGGATTCAGGCCGAATGCCCTATACATTTCATTCATTTGTACACATATATTTTTTATATTCTACAAGCTTTATAAAAATAATAACTAATGATTTCTGACAATAAAAGGATACAGTCAAGCAAATCATTTCCTTGCTTTCCTATGGCTGAAAGTGTGATAAGGCATTTTTTGATATAAATGACTAAATATAAGGATCACAACAATTGTCAATGCGCTAAACTTTTCTTCAGTTGCCGTTGCGATTTATCATCAAGAAGACTGCCTAAAGCACGACGTACGTCTGGTTTCACATACGCTATGTGTCACTAAACATGCTATAGATTATCTTTTGTTCACAAGTGTTTAAATACCGGGTACTAGACACCTAAATAAGGCATTGCAGTCCATGCTTGTCTGGAATCTAGTTGCTCTATATGATTGCTAAGACCGATAAAAAACTAAACTATGATATCGAAACGAACATGGAAATTATTATTTGATCAAGTTACGGAATCGTCAAAGCTAACTGCTGGGCACAGAAACCCACATACTGCTGTTTGCATGGCAGTCGGATACACTTGAGCATAAGCTAATAATAGAATTTCTAGAGGGTGCTATCGAGTCTTACTGTTTTGAGATTATGGATGAAAAGACAAGGAGCTCAAAGCATGAGCCTTGCACCAGCCTGGATATGCACGCAGGGATTGCCAAGCGAATTATCCCTTTCCACTCGCAAATGATGGCCTAACATGTGCACGTTGTTTTTGCGAAATTTTTACATTAGTAGAGTATGGTCGGCCCACCAAAGGTTAACGACGGTTCAGCCAACATCGTTTCTATATAGCATCATCTCTCTCCAGATAATTTAGAAAATTGTTAAAATGTAAGGAGTTTATTGTTGTATCTCATTGTGCCCTCTACCCAAAAAAAAAACTAAACTCACGTAACTCCAAGGATTCAGAAGAAGGATACCTGAAGAGATATATTAGAAAAAAATAAAAAAATGAATCGACAAAGATAAAGATGCTTAATATCACTACTAGTATTTTTTTTTTTTTTTTTTTATATTATAGCTGTCTTTATTTTCACGAAAGCGATGTATAGTCGAATATAATAGTGTCCTAGTAACACGATCATTTCTTCGTGTCTAAAGTAATGTTCAGTTATCAGGTTTAGACTAATATGGCAGAGTAGAAGTGAAATTGTTTTTGCCATTATATCAGAAAAATGGCGTTAGTTTGCTAAAACACCTTGCTTGCTGTCACCGACACTGCCATCATATTCGTTAAATCAACCCCCATAAACGAGTAAAGTAATAATAAGCGATAATGCTAATGATAATAATAATAATAATCCAAAATGTACTTCAGAGACAGACCATATTGATCGATAAACTCTTGGATGAGTAGAACTCTGTAAATAAAATATTATCAGTTATTGAAGTTAGAACGCGCCGAAAAGAGTCTAAAAAGATAGGCCTGATTATCTTTTAAGCTTAGTAATCTTTACCGGGCATCATTGCTTTATAGCAATGATCATATCAAAAAGATCATACAAACGTTCTGAGCAAGCGACAAATTTATTTCGCTCTGTTCCGTCGTAGACCAAATTCTGGTGAAATAAGGTCACATAAAAGTAAATTATAGTAAATACTTATAAATGCTTCGCATGTTTGACTAATAGATCAGTTTGATCGCTAGAGTGAAAAAGCGGTAAGTTGCTGCTCGTGCATGAGCTCCAAGTTTTACATTCAGTTGAGGCTCTGTGACTTCAGATTATAACACTAATGTCACGCTAAACTAATACGAATAGCATTACGTTCATGACCTCTAACTTAAATAGGAACGGTCTGTACCGAGCCGGAGCTGCTACTAGAAGTTTACATCTGTCACAAAAAGAAAAAATACTACCGAAGCACTCTTATCTAATTCCAATAAGAGATATATGAATACTTGACATGATTTATTGTTCACTTAACTTAAGCTAACACTCACAGTACACGAACACGAGGTGCATTGGTCGAGAGGCCAAGCAGTCCCATCGTCAAAAACTTCAGTGCCGATCATGCATCGGCCACCAAGTGGGGACCCCACTAGTGATTTCGTACCTGCAACGCAGAGACATGAAGTATATGTATTTAGGCTATGTCACCGAATAAACTATTTTCTAAATATATTTCATGGACAATAATTTAACTTTTTTTAGGCAATTTTTGGCTTTGTATGTTGACGTATACATACCAAAAACAGCTATTTATGTTTATCAAACGAGGCTGCAATGAATTTTTTTGCGATTTTAGATGCACATTACATTCGCTGCTATACGAGTGCGCTTAAAAAAAGGCACTGATGCCTGCCGTAAAAGTAAATGTCTGCCGACCTTGGCAAAAAGGATGGAAAGGTTGTGGGCAGACTCTGTGTTCTGGAATACAGTTCGTGCAATATGAATCTGATCGATTACTTGGTCGTGCTCGGCAATTATCGTTGTCTTCTTGTTTTTTCCTCTTTCAAAGCAGAATTGTGTGAGAGAAAGCCCATTATAACTAACACAAAAATCCTGCCTCCGTACGCCAATTCATCCATAAACGGCTCCACTTTTGTAATGAGTAGGATAACTGCAGTTCTATATGTTTGGCTTGCACTTTATTTGTAAGAGCTGAGCTCGAACGACTATTTCCAATGTAAATGTTTAAAACAATGCTTCCTGGAAATAAAATGAAAATAGTTCTATAACCTACGACACTCCTGTGGTAGTTCACCTTTAAGCTCAATATACTATTCGCTATTTTCGTAATAAATGCTAATATCTGCCTTTTTCTGCATATACTTTCTCATCGTGAATTCCTTAATAAGGGCGGACCGCATTGTTGGACTCAAAATAAATATTTTTTTATATTTTGAAAATTCTTCTTTTCGTCCACATTTAACAATTTTTTGTGGGATTTAGACTATTGCTAAACTTGAAGTGCTCTTTTTGTTAGATATGGATGAGCTGATATTTGGGACTTGCTTTTGGAATAATGCCTTTTCACTACCTCCTTTTATTTTATTTAATATTTATTTATCATAAATCAAATAATTTCCCATTAGTAGGCCCTAAAGTGATCGTACTACACATACTATCATCGATCCCCGTATTTTTTTAATACCTATCCCTTACAAATGCCTCTTAGATACCGTGTTGTCGGCCATGACTAACGTATGGATTTCATTACAAACCTAAGAGTTAGTAAACCATTAAACGTTACATAACAAAAGCTTTCCGGAACATTTTGCATTAATATACCTTCACCATTTAGCCTACAGTTATTTTATCAGAAATACCAGTTTTATCGCAAGTCGCCCCAACTCTTAGAGATTCATTTTCTGGACTAAAAGTACACTCTAATGAAGGTAGACAAAAGTCTATGACCGTTTACATAAATCTTCATGTATGCATATATACATCGTTAAATGGGCAAATTTGGGGCATATTGGCTAATGGAGATCGCATCTAACTGAGTTTTTCCTTGATACTGTTGTCGAATGTGCAGCCAATTTTTGCAAAGCTTCACTTTAGGGAACAGTAGCACTATCTCAACAACTCAACACGATGCCATGAGATCGTTAACGAAGTGTAACTAATGACATACCCTTATTAGAATTGAAACAGCCGTGTATAATATGGTTGTGTTCAATAAAGGAATCCTAAAAGAACATCTAGACTTTTCCCCGTCGTTTTTATCAATTTAGTTACCAACCAATAAGGTCGCTAAAACCTACGAGAGGCCATTTCAGAATAAACTAGGTAAGTTTATTAATTCTGTAAAAAACAAACTGAGTTGGCATAGAAACCTTTCGAGGCATCTACTTTCTGCCACTATCATACCTTTTAAATCATCTAGCATTAATTACACAAACACAGCCATTTATACCTTTCTAGCACTAATTAAGCAAGCTATACATATATATAGAATAAGTTGAGAGCAACAAAATCAAATTTTCAATAGTGGCATACTTTCCATGGAAATTTGAAAAAAATGGATACCGACGAAATTAATAAACACTAAGTTCTCTGACGTTCTTGCCATGTTAATTATTATAAGCGTTCACCTTTTATTTTAACCATAAAAAATGTAAATACGACGGGTGCTAAAAGTGAAAAAATCATTTTACGGTTTTTAAAAGATCTTCATGTGTTTACGTTATCTATGTGGAGTTTTTGATATGTGAGAACACAAGCACAACAACGCCGTCAGGACACACGAGGAAACTGGCTGTGCACTTCCCAGTCTGATTCCCTTGCAGCAAATTCATTTTAGCCTTATTTTGTTAGCGAAACAAATGTCAGCGTTAGTCATCGTTCTATAAAATACAAATGTTCAAGCTTTATTGCCGTTAAGTTAAGCTTAACGTCAGTAGACAAACACGTTAGTACTGCACCATCAGGGCGATACTTTTGTTGTAGATAATGGAACCTATTATTCACTATAAGATCTTTTTACTCATAGAAAAATTAAAATAGTATAGTAAGGGGTCTTCTCATCTAATAAATACATCCAAATGTGTTAGGACCAGGGAATTGCGTCCATCAGTACTATCAGTCATCCTGTTGCACATGTAAAGCAGATTTGCTCGAAGGATACGCTATATTCTACCAAAGAAGCTGATACTAAAACTATATTTATAACAATAATATTTTATTTAATTTTAATACCAAAAGACTTGGTTATAGCTAGCAGTTGTCATCTTTAGACAGTTTGCTATTTGTGTAGCTCACATAATTGTCTGAAGTAAGAAGAAGCTTGTGAAGAACGCTATCTGATGTAGACTGAAGTTTCGATAATTTTTCGCTAGGCATCACCAAGTATGGCCGTGTGATCACCTACCTGCACTTTGAAAAGAACAGCAAGGGTCGGCCAGCATCAGTTCGTTGTATCCACTAATCTTTAATCGGCTAAGCCAGTAAATCTTGCTTACAAAGGGAACGAAGGTTTGTATAAGACTCGGCAAAAGCCAATAAAGTTAGTAGGCGAATTAGTAATATTGCGCTCGGACCCCAAATGATCTTAATGTACATAGCGTTTGTAAACAAAATGCGCATCTTAACTTGCGCATGCTACACAGGCTTAGTATGCCCTCCATAACACGAGCAATACGGCTTATTGAAGAATATTGGTGTATCTTATAAACTGTCAAAACTTTGATTTTTTGCTTCTTGTGATGAGGTACAAAACAAAGTTTCTAACCCTTAGGCTTATTTTCTTGTAGGGACATAAGGAAGGTCTCGCTTACGAAACTACTGCTAACTCCTTCTAATCTCTGACTCTAAGTATCTCTTCTACTGCCAAATCTTTCGCTCACTGCGAATAACTGGTCTCCTCTAAGACATAAGTAGCCTATTTTAGGAACTTATCAGGCACGTGTCAGAAATAAGAGCTACCAGTTCTAAATTATTTTCATTCAGTCACCTGAGACATCTTCTAGGTAATGAAGTAGATCGTCAATTTTTTGACTGAAGTAAGAGTTTTCATAGAGTAACAACTTTTCTTAATGCTGTTTATCACTCTATAGGTGTTCAGACACAATACCTTGATGTCCCATGATCGCATTCAGAAAATGTTTTTCTCCACCCAACATTATCACCCCTCAGAACATTTAAGTTTTAAAAATATCCTATATATAGCAAGTAGGTTAAGCACAGTTCAAGTGGCCTTGGACACCAGCAGTGATCGATCGATGACTAAAACAAAAGGTCGGTGCACTCTTATCACAGAAAACTGTCGAACTTTCTCCAGTTCCACGAAATCCTACTGTCACTATTGGTATGACCTAGAAGTCCAGATTGTGTAGCGATTTAACCTATCGAAGAAGCCAACACTAGTCGAGTCCCGTAGGACGTGACATAGCAGACTCAAGCATAACTAAAAAGTGATCTAAAGGGCTAAGCCTATCAAAAAGCTATGCGTTTAACAACGATGAAATGTTCTTTATTTTTTTATGTCCCGCATGGCCCACTGATTTTAAAACTTATTTTCACGTGCTGATGTCCGCGATTCTAGTCTCAACGCCATGCCAAACAAATACCTATACCTCTTATATCAAATTACTTATTCCCTTTTGGCAGCATTTGATTATACAGTGCGCTGTTTTACCATCCAGATAACAATGTACGGTGGTAGAAGATAAGGTCATATCTTACGTAGTATTACTTCATATTGCTAGGGCTGCCGGTTTTAGATGGGCGAGTCACGCCTCGTGTGAGCTGCTTACGATTACTAAAGTTCCTCTCTAGTATCGGCGGTTGCTTAAAAATGGAAAAATATTACTTTTATATGTTTCCTTAAATTTGAATTATGAAGAACGTCAGAAATTCGCAAGCCAATTTAGACACTGTTTTATAGGTTTTATTGGGATTAAACATGTTAGTAATTTCTTGTAAGGACCACTTGACTCCGACCATTTTTCATACAGAGCTGTGAACGCTTACATGATTAGGTTTGTATTTAGTATGTGATATTCATATAAATTTGTACATTATGATACAAGATACTCATACATGTGGCCTTCTCTTTAACTGAGCGTCCTCAACGTTTAGCGTAAGAATAGTGGAGTGACGGCTAACGTTGAAATCTAGTGGTTACCAAAAGGAGTAAGCTAGAAGAGAAAGAACTTCATCCTTCTGTATTAATGCACCCGCCACATCGGCATCGTTCTGCTAGAAAGTTCACCCCTCTCGTTAGCCGAAAACAAACATAGAATGTCAGAGGCTACAAACTTCACATCGACGCCACCCAGCGTTAGAAACGTAGTTCAACAGCCGGAACTTCTCAAAATTGAGCAATATGTCCATTAATTAAGCTGTTGTCCGTTGGCTGTGTATCGAACGGCACACTGTACAAACATAGAAAATAGAGAAACTGTCGCAATCATAAATACTTAATACCTGCTAGTGCATTTTGAATATGCTCCGCAGATACCACCTTGCGTATTTGCCCTCTTTTCCGCTAAGCAGGGTTTGCTTGACAAGCAAATGTTGATAACTGAAGCAAGCTTTAATAAAACAATATGCTGTACCCCCATGCGTCTAGGGTGTACCAGCTAAATTTGAATTTAATGTAAAGAGGAA